TTTTTAGTAGAGATGGGGTTTCACTATGTTGGCCAGGCTGGTCTCCAACTCCTGACCTCATGATCTGCCTGTCTTGGCCTTCCAAAGTGCTATGATTACAGGCATGAGCCACTGCACCAGCTATTTTAACATCTTATGTAAAATAGGGAATTAAAGTTCTATAAGAAATTACATTTGCTAATCAGCTAATCTTTAAATAGGAAGATTATAGGGGATTATCAGGGAGGGCCCAGTCTAATCCCCTGTTCCCTTAAGAGTAGAAGACAAAGGCAGAAAATTGCATCAGACAGATTTAACAGAGCACAACAGAGGAGAGAGTCGAAGCCTGAGAGGGACTCATCTCATCCTTGGTGGGTTTCGAAGACAAAATACTGGAGTCAGGAGCCAAAGAGCACAGGCAGACTCAAAAGCCTGGGAATGACCTCAAGTTACACCTTGCAGGAAATGCACTTCTACTACCAGACAAGTATGAATTGAAACTAATGTTGGCCTGAGGTTGCCTCCTTACATTGAGTTTCTACTAGAGAACTGCAATCTCAGTATGCAAACAAACTGCAACCTAACTTGAATACCTCTTATAGCAAGAATCTCAGCCAATCATAGGAGCCAAGCTTCAGCTTCAGTCAATCACAAGCCACCAACTGCTTACACCCTGCCCAGTAAGGGAAATGTCAAGTTGTAACCAATCAACCTACATCTTGAGGTTACTTTTTAATCTTTTCTTTATACACACTGCTCACCCACATTGCTGAGTGGAGCTCTCTGTACCACTCCCAGTTCTGAGTGCTGACCAATTTATGAATCACTCTTGGCTAAAATAAACTCTGCGAATTTAAATTTATTTTTTATTTTTTTAACAACAGGGAACTCAGCTTACATCCTAGGAATTCAGTTCTGGAATAACAGAGAATTGAATTTTTTCAACGACCTGAATGAGCAAGAAAATATATTTCCCCAATAGCTCCAAGGGAGGAATATAGTCTTGCTCTTCGTTTTAGTCCAGTGAGACTCATGTTAGACTTTTGACCTATAAGAACTATAAAATAATAAACTTCTGATTTTTAGGCAACTAATTGTTACAATAAAAACAAAAACAAATATAACATCAGCATACATGAAATACAATGGAATTTTTAAATGGTACCCTTTTTGCTTCACTTTTGAATGCAGCATGAATATGATTGATATCAGATACCAAAGTGAGTATAAAAATTATACTCATATGTAGAATTTATAGCTAAAATTAATAAAAACAAATTTCACAATCTTAGAATTATCAGATAGATAAAGAACATAAAAGTAAGGCAAAGGGCAGAGAATAAAATTCAGGAATATTTCTTAGGAGAAATCTCTTCCATAATCCTAATTCCTCCTTCACGATGGGAAAGTTGTGCTTAACAGTGAGGGGGTCCCTCAAACAACTGCAGAGAATGCTTCATATATGATGCTTGTATTTGTGGAGAACATGGGCTAGTTTTGAACTCAAACTTGAAAAAACACTAGACAAGAAAAAAATTGCCCAGGTGCTTCAGCTATCGGAAGGAGGAGAGATTAAAAGCAAGCAGTCTCTTCCAACTTGCTCTAAGTAAATCCCCAAAACACATGTGAAACTTGTGATAGAAGTGTTTACTTAGGGTCATTTAAAGAGGATCTCATATTAAAGGATCTGTGTTGGCAGTAAGGTGATTTCCAAAATAAGAGTTCTCATAAGGTAGACACAGAGCTTAGGGAGTGTTATAAAGGAAAACATGATTTGCCTATGCTATGGGATAGTGCTGACAAGTCTCAATGAAATCAGACTCTCCAAAAAAAAAAAAAAAAAGAAAAAAGAAAGAAAGTTAAAAGAGAAAAGCAAAAAAATAGACACACACACACAGACACACACGTTTCCCCAGTAAAGGAAAGGAAGCAGGATTTTAAACTGTATTTGAGACCTAGAAACAATGAAGACTCATCCATTTAATAAGTGTCCAGTCCCCTAAAGCCTACTTCTTTTCACTCTGGAGGGAAAAATTGTTTCACGTAGGAAACTGAGATTGAGTAAAACTAGAAGAGAAAAACCAAACCAACCAAAAACTTTGCCCAGATAAAAGGTGGTTACCACTAATCAATCTTAGCAAAAGGAAAAGATGGATCTGGAAGTAAAGATTGAAGTATGCTGCTTAGAGGTTTTAATTTTTATACTGAAACTGTGCTACAACATAAAAATTCTTCAGTGATGTCTATTGTCTAAGAGTAAATGGAAAATTAATGGAACTTGCCCTGGAAAAACTACTCTGGGGTAGAAGAGTAGAAAGAAGAGAAATTTACTAAAAATAAATTTAAAGTGTTACAAGAAATAAAACAATGTTGCATTATGAATAGATCAAAACATGTGCTTGTTGATGCTAGATGTAATTAAGCAAAATATATTTTAATAAGAAAAATATATAAACCTAAAAAAAATGAAATTCCTTCTGGAGTACTGTTATACAAATACCTGCCTCCCTCATTCCACAGGGATATTACCATGGGTTTGCTTTTAGCTTTTTTCTCCATTTTTAATATTATTTTGCATATATGTTTGGCTGTTTCCACACCCAAATTTCATCCTGAATTGTAGTTTCCATAATCTTCACATGTTGTGCAAAAGACACAGTGGCAGGTAATTTAATCATGAGGGTGGTTTACCCCTATGCTGCTGTTCTTATAATAATGAGTGTGTTTTCACAAGGGCTGATGGTTTTATAAGCAGCTTTTTCCCCATTGCTAGGAATCTATCCTGCTGCCATGTGATGAAGAATGGGTTTGCTTTCACTTCTGCCATGATTGTAAGCTTCTTGAGGCCTCCCCAGCAATTTGGAACTGTGATTCCATTAAGCCTCTTTCCTTTATAAATTACTAAGTTTTGGATGTGTCCCTATAGCAGTATAAAAATGAACTAATAAAGTAAATTACTACCACAGAGGGTGGGGTACTGCTATAAAGATACCCAAAACTGTGGAAGCGTGTTTGAAACTGGGTGACAGAGAGAGGTTGGAACAGTTTAGAGGGCTCAGAAGAAGACAGGAAGTTATGGGAAAGTTTGAAACTTCCTAGAGACTTGTTCAAAGGCTTTGACCAAAATGCTGATAGTGATATGGACAATGAAGTTAAAGCTAAGTTAGTCTCAGATGGAGATGAGGAACTTGTTGGGAACTGGAGGAAAGGTCACTCTTGCTATGATTTAGCAAAAAGACTGGTGACATTTTGACCCTGCCCTAGAGATCTGTGGAACTTAATTCAGGGTATGTGGCAGAAGAAGTTTCCAAGCAGCAAAGCATTCAAGAACTCACTTGGGTGCTCTTAAAAGCCTTCAGTTTTATGCATTCACAAAGATATGGTTTGGAATTGGAATTTTATGTTTAAAAGGGATGCAGAGTAGAAACTTTTAAGTCTGGAAAATTTGCAGCCTGACAATGGGATAGAAAAGAAAAACCTAGCAGAAATTTCTGAGCAAAAATTCAAGCTGGCTGCAGAAATTTGCTTAAGTAATGAGCAGCCAAATATTAATCAGCAGCACAAAGGCAAAATGTCCTCAGGGCATATCAGAGGTCTTCATGGCAGTGCCTCCCACCAAAGGTCCGGAGGCTGGGCCCAGGGTCTTGTTACTTTGTGTAGTCATGGGATTCAGTGCCCTGCTTTCCAGTGTGACCCGAAGGGACCAATGTACAGCTCAGGCCATTTCTTCAGAGCGTGAAAGGTCAAGCCTTGGCAGCTTATATGTGGTTTGGGGTCTATGGGTGCCTAGATTTCAGAGTATGTATGAAAATGCCTAAATGCTCAGGCAGACGTTTGCTGCAGGAATGGAGCCCTTATGGAGAACCTCTACCAGGGCAGTATGGAAGGGAATGTGAGGTTGGAGCTCTTACACAGAGTCCCTACTGAGGCACTGCCCAGTGGAGCTATGAGAAGAGGGCCAATGTCTTCCAGACCATAGAGTGGTAGGTCTACAGACAATGGAAGCCCATGAAAGCAGCTGAGAGGAGGCCTATACCCTGCAAAGCCATAGAAGTGGAGCTACCCAAGGCTTTGGGAGCTTACTCTTGCATCAGTGTGACCTGGATGTGAGACGTGAAGTTAAAGGAAATCATTTTGGAACATTAAGACTTAATGACCGCCCTACTGGAGTTTGGGCTTGCATGGGGCCTATAGTCCCTTTGTTTTGGCCAATTTCTCCCATTTGGAATGGGTGTGTTTATGCAATGCCTGTACCTCCATTGTATGTGGGAAGTAACTAAGTTGCTTTTGATTTTACAGTCTCATGGGAAGAAGGGACTTGCCTTATCTGAGATCAGACTTTGGACTTGGGCTTCTGGGTTAATGCTAGAATGAGCTAAGACTTTAGGAGGTGTTGCAAAAGCATGATTTTGTTTTAAAATGTGAGGACATGAGATTTGGGAGGGGCCAGGGTCTGAATAATATGGTTTAGCTGTGTCCCTACCCAAATCTCATTTTGAATTGTAGTTCCCATAATGCTCATGTGTTTTGGGAGGGACTGGGTGGGACGCAATTGAATCATGGAGCATTTACTTCCATGCTGCTGTTCTTGCAAGATAGTGAGTGAGTGCTCACAAGATCTGACGGTTTTATAAGGGGGTTTTTCCCCTTTGCTTGGCACTTTTCTCTCCTTCCACTATGTGAAGAAGGATGTGTTTGCTTTCCCATCCACCATCATTGTAAATTTCCTGATTCCTTCCCAGCCATGTGGAACTGAGAGTCAATTAAACCTCTTTCCTTTCTAAATTACACAGTCTTGGATATGTCTCTATATCACCATGAGAATGGAGTAACACAATGTCATTCTTATGTTTTGCATATTCTTAAGTTATATATGTTCATAAAACAAAACTCATTATGATTTCTATATTTTTCTCTTATTTACTACAAATTTATTTCTGACAATCATCAATCTTGGTCCCTGAACCTTTAATTTATTTACCTTTGCTTTCTTTTTTTGTGAGATGAAGTCTCGCTCTGTCATCCAGGCTGGAGTCCGATGGCGTGATCTCAGCTCACTGCAACCTCCGCCTCCCAGGTTCAAGCAATTCTACTGCCTCAGCCCCCTGAGTAGCTGGAATTACAGGCACATGCCACCATGCCTGGCTAATTTTTATATCTTTAGTAGAGACGGGGTTTCCCCATGTTGGCCAGTCTGGTCTCGAACTCCTGACCTCAAGCAATGTGCCCACCTCAGCCTCCCAAAGTGCTGGGATTACAGACGTGAGCCATTGTGCTCAGCCACCTTTACTCTTTAGAATATACATATATATATATATATATAGTATTTTTTTTGCTTAATTGCACCATACTAAATATAGTCATTCTTTTTTAAATGGAAGTTTGGATGACGTCTTTTTTTCTTTCTAATGTTATAAACAAGGCTATCATGAATATTCATATGCACATCTCTTGTTGCACATGTTAACTTTTATTTAAAATGCCTGACATATGTTTATTCATTTTCCTCATTAAAATGTTAACACATTTTGTTTTAAATTTATTTATTCTATAAAAAATATGATTATATCAGTTTTACACTACTATATATATTTTAAAAATTAATAAGTTTTAGAACACATGACTTTTTTGGTCTCACAGTGTTCTTTTTTCTCTTGGCCTTTCATTCAGTTCTAAGAAGAAATTTCTTTTGTGTTCTTTTTATTGTTGAGACTATATTGCTCCACTTTTATTTCCTCAGAAATGATCATTATACATAATATTTTTAATTTTATCATGGTTGCGTGTGTAAAACATACATTTAAGATTAACTGTTCTTGTCAAACAAGAGCAGTATCTTTTTATTTTCGCCTCAATAGTATAAGGATATCTTTAAGTTTTTGCAATTTCCAAATACCTTTCAATGCAATTTGAAGCATTAGATAAATATGTTTACTAAATGTTAGACACTGTATATCTTCTTTCCTAAGACAAGTGATTTAAAGTGTGCTTTACCATTATGGTTTTACTTTATCATTTGTTTGGATGTATTTCTCTATTGACTGCAACTTACTTAACACTCTGTGTGTGTGTGGCTGGAAGAAGAAATGAAAGTGATCATCTTGATCAATATCTGACTTTCTGTTTATTTGAAAATGCCTTCTGTTTGATTTTCTACATGAGTGACTATTCCTGTGAGTATAACATTCTTACTTTAGTATTCTTTCAGTATTAAAATGGTATCGCATTGCTGTCTGACATTTAATATGAATGTGTCTAGCTTGAATTTATTTCTCGGCAAAAAAAGAAAATATGGGTCAATACTAATAAAATACTGTAGTTAATTTAAATGTTTTTTTTCCCCCTGAGATTTATTTAGATGTTATACATTATGTGTTAAAATAGATGAATTGGCTTTTCTTTATTCCAAAAAATACATTAATATAATGCTCAAATGTCATTACTTATTTTTTCCTTTATTATTTTTTGGCATGAATACATATGCAAAGTTCAATAAAATAGCATTTTACTGCCAAAAAATAAAAAATAAAAAGCGCTAAATGCAAACAAGACTATTTCTTCTTCACATATATAACCACATTTTAATTAAGAAAAATTGTATTCAATTATAATTAGGCTATTTCTTCTAGTCTGAGAATTAAGATTTTATGATATGTATTCTACCAATCAATAAAAATTATACAGATTGCTTGATTTTTTAGATATGTATTATTATATGTGTATTACTTACTTTCATTAATATTATTTCTGTTCTTAAACTATCTTGTGAATATTTGCCAGTTTGAAACAGTACTTTACTCTTCTAAAATTTCACATTTATTTTCAACTTCCTTCAATGACTATTTTGACCTATTTAATTTTCAATTCTACTTCTATTGCTTCTTTGATTGACCAATATAGTATTTGTTTTTGTATTTATTATGCCTATATAAAATAAAAATATTATTGTTGTTTGTAATTTACCCTCTTGTGTTTTCAAAATAACAATTGCTATAGATGTACTGATCCTTTTGCAGTAAGACATTTTGTTGCCTTCCTATCAATATACCAAGAAATGTATTTTTCTAACATTTTTATATATTTCCCCCCCATTTTTATGTATTTTTACAGTAAATTGTGTGATTGTAGCATGTTCTCATTTTCATTATTGCAACAATCATCCCTTCCTGGAGCCTTACTTCATCTTCTTTTGTCTGTTTTATCTCATTTTTCTGTTTTTTCATTGATATTATTTGTAACAATAAAAGCTAATATTGACCGAGAGGTAAAATCTTTGGATTGTTCTTGATCATGCTCACATGAATTTTATTCTAATAACTTTATTTGTTCAAAAGGGGAGCAAGGGAAGGAGTTTGCTGTGAAAACTTCAGTATTAGTCTTCATTATTCAATCTCATAGTTGAAATATCTGTACACTGACACAGTGAATATTTTCAGAGCCTTTATCATCTGATGATTTAGATACGTGAAATTTTAAAAGCTGGGCCACTTTGTAAAATGAACTTCCTATGCTAGAATGCTAGGCTGATATCAAATGTAAATGAAACACTTGACAAAACTGCTAACCAGTGTAAGACTTGTCCTCTGTAGCATTGCTGTGTTACAGTCCTGGAAAACATTTACATCTCCTTTGTTTTGTCCCAAGCTACTATGGTCTGAATGTTTGTGCCCTCAACTCCAACCAAAAATTCATGTTGAACCCTCAAGTTATGGTATTAGAAGGTGGGGCCTTTTGGCGGTGATTAGATTATAATTGCAGAGCCCTTATAAAAGAGAACTCAGAGACCTCCCTCACCCCTTCTACTGCAAACCAAAAATAAAATTCTAAGTCCCTCAGTCAACTGAATGGACCCTTCTTCTTGAACAAAGAGATTCTAAAGTAAACCTGAAACACTAGTTCAGATCACAATGGGAATGAGTGTTTGGATACGCCTCATTATACTTCTCTATCTTTGGATTTCAGGCACAGTTGACTAGCATTAACATTAAAACAGAGACCTTAAGATTAACAAAAGAGATTCTTTGTAGCAATAAGATACCAACATAAGAGACAGCAGGCCCTGAAGAAACTGAAGCATTTAACCCAACATATATATATATCATTTGCTTATAGTCACAAGAATAACTAGGGATAATATTAGAAAAGGAAATTCTATTATTTTGTCAACGATATCAAGTTATTTATTGAACAACTATAATGTAAGAAGACCATAATTATCAAACATTCCTGAGTTTGTGGCAACCGAATGGCCCTAATTTGACATGCAGATATTTTAGCAAACTTCTCTTTTTAAAATCCAGTGAATGTATTTAATGCTGCAGTGTTATTAAATGTATACAGTTTACAATCAACTGGATCTTAGAATCACAGAAAATTTCATTTACTCAATGAACTATCAATAGAAACTAAAAGTAGGTAAGTCATTATTCTTCACTATAAGAAAGTTTTAGTCTACCTGAAAATATGTATGCATGTATTATATTTAGATTCTTTACAGATATGCTTGCTTGATTATACATATATATTTTATACATGTGTCTGTGTATATATATGCATTATATATATCAAATAAGGGAAGAATGAAACCTAAAAATTACAATATTAAAATGAGTGCTTTAAAATGCTGTTTATATTTTAAAGAACATCTTTTTACTGAGAAAATTATCCTGGTAAAATGTTAGTCTATGTTCTAAAAATTCAAACTAAATCACTAAAGCTACACGGTGTGTTAAGATAAAAGAAACAGCCTCTTTCTCTGAGTTTTATTAGACTGAGTTGAGATTGGTAACAATCCACAAAGACACTGAGAAAATGTTATTATTTCCAAAATTGAGGATTATTTCTCCAATAAGCAATGTGATATAAATTCATTTTATTAATTACTCCTCCGAAATTTCATGTGACTATGAAGTACTTAATGAATGTCTTTAGATATCATTTATTCTACTCCTTCAAAAGAATTTCCACCAAGATGCAATTAGTTTTTGTCAAATTTCAATCATTTTATCATTCCAATGCTTGTAAACATTTAAGCATTATATCTCATTTTGCTTAAATTATTCATAAAAATGCTTAACTGTGAAGAATAGATATTACATTATATGTGTGTCAACAAATAGTACATTGTTGACAACTTAATTTTTATTATATAATGTATGCTCTGTAAGATCATTTTAGCTTTATAAAAATTTATGTAGGAAATGTTATTGGCTATTTAAAGTTGTATTTACTTTCTCTTATTTTAAATTTAAAGTTAGTACTTTTCTCTAAAATATCCTTTTCAACATAATATCTATTAAGTATGTAATCAAAATGTATGTACAAATGTACGTTGATTTATTGCCAAAATTTTTAGCATTTTCTCTGTCTCAGATCCAGACAATATGATAGACAAGAAAATAATTGAACAAAAATAAAATATAGGCCATAATATTATTAAAATTAAGATGACTGGCAAATGTCAGGTAGTGTAGTTAAAGGCCTAATCATTTTACACTCAATGTGAATAATATTTATTTATCAGATTATTTATTCATTCAGCAAACTAAATTATCAAATTTGACACGTATTAAGTACTAGGACAATATTGTATATTATAAAATCTATTCATTAAATGTCTCTTCAGTTTCTTAACTAAAGAACAGATTATTCTGTTTTCAGGATTGTTCTACTAATCAAAGTATGATGCTGGAGAGCAGAAAGAATGCATGTATCATTTGCAAATAAATGTTTAGCAATTCTCAATTCCCCACAATAGAAAACTACTTACTATTATCACACAATTCCTGTACATTTCGCAAGGAGAGAGTGACTCCATCTGGGACAATCTTTAGGATCTTTGCAGCTGTTTATGCAAATACAGTAAAAAAGTAGAGAACTTCCAACATTTTTCTTTAGAGACATACAGTGGCTGGCATTATAACAGACTAGGATATCTCTTTCCAAATGATTATTGATATGGTTTGGATCTGTATCCCCACCCAAATCTCATGTTGAATTGTAATCCGCAGTGCAGGAGGTGGGACCTGGTGGGAAATGATTGGATCATGCAGGAAGATTTCCTCCTTTGGTGCTAATCTGGTGACAGTTCTCATGAGATCTGGTTGTTTAAAAGTGTGTGACACCTTCCCTCTCTCTCTTCCTCCTGCTTCGACCATGTAAGGGCTTTCCTGCTTTCCCTTTGCCTTCTGCCAAGAGTTAATGCTCCTGAAGGCCTCCTCAGTCATGTTTCCTATACAGCCTTCAAAATCATGAACCAATTAAATTTAAATTTTTTTTGATAAATTACCCAGTCTTAGGCATTTTTTATAGCAATGCAAAATCAGACTAATGCTATAATAGTGTACTATGTAATCCAGATTGACTAATGTTCCCGTTGTTAACTATGGTTTCAAAGATAATGGCACTAGACACTAAAATATAAATTTTTAACTGTAAAATTATTAATGTCTGATGAAATATTTTATTCTATTCAGTATATAGTTATCAGATGAATAATCACATAATTGGCATTATTTTAAAGATGTACAATGGAACAAGTGTGATTGTAAAACATAATGAGGAAAAACAAGTCTTCATCTAATTTTTTACTCTATAAGGAAAATCAGATTTTTAAATGCAAATTCCAATATTCAAAATCATATTTATTCTTATTTTAATGCTTGCCTTTCAGTATTATATGCTTTAAAATTTTTCTTAACTTTCTAATTAGAATATTACTTCTTTTAGAATAATTCTTTCCATGCATTATTAAACTGAAATAAAAAAGAAAAATTCTTGTTTGAACATATTATATTATTTAAATATAGATATATTGGTTCTTCCACTTACTGGCTTCTGTTTCATTAATACATATCAAAGTAACATGTAAAATTCATGTGAAGTTTATCATTGTCCCAGCTTAATAAATTATAGAGCAAAATACTTTCAATGACACAAATCCATTAATCTATATCCACATCTGCAGTATGTTTTACCTAGTAACTTGTCTGTCTTTTCCTAAATGTCTAATATATAAATATCCAGAGCATCATTTTCACAAAGAAAACATTGCATATATATTTTTGGATGCATTTTTTCACTCTTAAGTGGTGAAAAATAGTGTTTTGTTTTAATCCAAGAAAATAAAATCTAGATAGACAAGGTAAATATCTTGATAAATTAAGGCACAGACACAAACAGAATACATAAGGCCAAACTACTAAAAAAAAATTCAGTTACTATGTCTGGGATGTAAAAAATACAATTTAGATATGTGATAAAATATGTTCATCAAATGAAATGAATAAATTATCATTATGTTATACTAATAATGGCTTATGAATTATATTTACCACATGGTAGAAGAAATAGAAAATGTGTTAATTCTAATTGTATTCAGATCTGCACCATTGCACACATTCAATAAACATCTTTCACATCTCAGTCCATATGGAAGGCAGTGTCTGGAATTGGGAGACATAAAGTTTGTAGCTGTGCACAGGGCCCTACTATACATTAAAGATTTTGGTGCAGAAGATCACATCTGTGAGTGCAAATGTAATCTAGGCTCCTCAATTTACAAACCCCTGTTCTTTCCCAAAGTATTGGTTTATCATTGAAAAATACATTTAATCACTACAAATTAGTTCATTCATTTGCAAGAAATAAGGAAGTGAGACAAGGAGGGGAAAAAGACCAATATTATCGCATTAGCAGGCAAGCTACTGCTGTCGCTAACTGGTGTTTAATCTTTCAGGAGAACTGTGAGAGCAGGTATAGAAAAAGGTCCTCAGTTGTTTGTCCCACAGGACAGGGAGCTGGAATGTGTCAGTGCCCAGACTTCCATCAGTTTTGATTGAGGGCTGCTCCTGGGAAACCTTAATGTGAGCACATCTGGATGGCTCTGTGTGTGCTGAAAATTGGGCCCCAATAGCCAGAGAAAGCCCTCAGGCAAAAAGAATAAACATTGACATTTGGAAGTCCATACACTGAAGTGGTAAGTGTAAAGAATTAAGGAGAACATAAGCTATATTTTGTGTCAAGACCCACCAATGTTTTTTTTTTTTTTTTCTGATGCCTGCCTACTTATTTATATAGACACTACCTGTATGGCCTTAATAGACCTTTGAGTTCATAACTTTTGACATTGCAAACTCCTTGAGAGTTGTGATTACAAATTTCTTACTTATAAAACTATGCTAAAATATGCTTTGTAGGAATTTTGAAGGAAAAATCAAATTTAAATGAACTTGTATTACATTACTTGTATTACATTACTATTCTGTAAGCATTTGCAGGAAATTCAAACTTTCGTTGCGAGGGGGAAGAGATGTCTCAGAAATTGTCTTCAAAAAGTGAACAAGTAATTGGTGACTTAATCACTGGTCATCAGAGAAATGCAAATCAAAAGCACATTGAGATACCATCTCATGCCAGTTAGAATGGTGATCATTAAAAAATCAGGAGACAACAGATCCTGGAAAGGATGTGGAGAAATAGAAACAATTTTACACTGTTGGTGGGAGTGTAAATTAGTTCAACCATTGCGGAAGACAGTGTGGCCATTCCTCAAGGATCTAGAACTAGAAATACCATTTGACTCGGCAAACCATTACTGAGTATATACCCAAAGGATTACAAATCATTCTATTAAGAAGACTCGTGCATATGTATGTTTATTGTTGCACTGTTCATAATAGCAAAGACTTGGAAGCAACCCAGATGTCCATCAATGATAGACTGGATAAAGAAAATGTGGCACATATATACCACAGAATACTATGCAGCCATAAAAAAGGATGAGTTCATGTCCTTTGCAGGGACATGGATAAAACTGGAAACCATCATTCTCAACAAACTGACACAGGAACAGAAAACCAAACACTACATGTTCTCACTCATAAGTGGGTGTTGAACAGTGAGAACACATGGATACAGGGAGGTGAACCTCACACACTGGGGCCTTTCAGAATGGGGGAATAAGGTTAGCAGGGGATGGTGAGCTAGGGCAGGGATAGCATTAGAAGAAATACCTAATGTAGATGATGAGGGGATAGATGCAGCAAACCACCATGGTACATGTATATCTATGTAACAAATCTACACATTTTGCATATGTACCCCAGAACTTAAAGTATAATAAAATACTACTAATAAAAATCCATAAGAACAAAATTTTTCATTTTTTGACATTATGAGGTTATTTGTTTAATTCACAAATTGGAAGGTTTTTATATTCTATTTTTCATCTTAAAAGTTTTATGTCGCTTATTTAATTGAACTATAATTATAGGTCATTCAGAAAGTTAATAGGAGAAAGGAAGAAGTAATTCAAGTTTAGCAGTCCTTGCTTTGATGGTTAATTGATTTGGAACTTTGTAGAGCAACTGACTAGGGAATAGTTCTCAAGTCCTATGCTCATTCTAGTGCCATCTAATGCAATTAATACTAAGACAAGTGAAAGAAAACTGGGTCAAATCATTTATTTATTAAAATCTTAAAAATAAGCCAAAAAAATAAAATCAAATGAAGAAAGTGTACAATATGAATCAGTGCTAAATATATCAGCTATTTATTACCTATTTTTAAAGTCCAGTATTCACTATTCATGTACTTATTCAAAACACACGTTTACGGCATTGTAGATCTTTAGAATGTTGTACACATTTGTAATATCAAGAGAGACAGACTCTAGTGCCTTCTTTGGCTGAACCATCTAAATGTAAATTCCAGGCATGTATCGTAAAAAATCTATATGTGATTTAACCATTTCTTTCTAGGGTTTCAGAAATATAACCCCAGTTATCTACATATTGATTTGTGCTGGTGTGTATGTAAGTTAATACTAGAAATTTTAACATATAGATTGCAAATAATGCCCACAATGATAGTATATGAAGCCTCACTGCTTCCACAAACAGCTTGATAAGAAATTAAGATGATCATTTAAAGCTAAAAGATTTTATTGTAATTTCTGATCTTAACCTTGATTAAGGAAGATAAAAGCATTCAGCATACTTTTATCATATGTTGTTCTACAACATTTGTTAAAATACATTGCAAAGAAAACCTAATTGCAAAGAAGTAATTCATTTTACAATATTAAATTTAAGAAAAAACAAAAGCCATGGAATGTTAGACTTTTGGTAGATTTTAGAAATAATGTTTTTGGAATTATTCTTTTACAAGTGAGAAAAATGACCCTTTGTTTTATTGATATACCAAGCAGAAATAGTTAAAATCAATAGCAGTGCTGACATTTGAGCACAGATACATATCCTTTCTCCAGAGTTTATGCACAATATGTCATTACTTCATTAAGAATGACAAGGAATCTACTCTTCTGCAAACACCTTTAATTATGTTTTCACCTAGGAGAGTCAATATCTCTGTATTCCCCTAACTATGCAGTGCTGGTGATCCAGCATCTACAGCCCTGATTACAGTCCTATTGTAAACGGAGCAGAATATGTTAAATGTTTATTGGGAGCACAGCAGGGATTTAAGCTGTTTGTGGATGTGTATGCTCTAGATTATAAATAAATCCCCACATAGCACAACATAGCAACATAACAACACTCAGCCCTGGCAGTGACCTTAAATGAAAAGCCCCAGGCATCTCTACTCAACCACTTACTCATTCCATTTGATAGTATTTTGGCTGACAGAATGAAAGAGGAAAAAGCTTTATCGGTGTAGTCCACCGAAATGTTATAAATGCAAAGTAGAGAAAACATGATTGTACTGAAAGTGAAATAATTGTTGAAGATCCTTCCACTGAAAATCATGAACAAACAATTTCTTCTCTAGGGAATTGTTCATTAGACTAAATGTCAAAGATGCTAATATATGCTAATAAGTATTAAATGGAGCCAGTTATATCCGAAATTCAAGTTTCTCACTGAGTTTGTTAATCATCTCTTAAACATATATTAATCAGTTCAGGGTTTAATTTGTTAACTTTTTGTTTTAAATTTAGTGTATTTGAGTTCTGGGCAGTGACTTTTGTACTACAAAATGATTGCATTCTATATGGGTAAGTAAATGAATTCTATACCCATAATAGTACCTTAAATATATTAGTATAACATTCACAAATATATGACTTAAAGATAGTTACTTTGAAACATGTGCATATTACAAATGTAATTAAATGCACTTGCATTTATAAAAAGACTTTCAATTGTGTATACAAAGCTAACTTCTTAATATCTTAATATCTGATTTGAATTTTAAAAATATATTATGAGTAGTCATAATCCTGAAACATTATGTTATATCTCAACAAAAGAATCATATTGCAATGTTTGATTTGAGAGAAACTTGCCAGTAGCTGCTAGACATACTTTTGTCCTAAAACTTGTTCACTAAATACCATTGAATATGTAAATATTTCACAAACATTTTCTCTTAACTTATCAAAGTCAGCACCTGCAAGATGAAGTTAAACCTTATTAAATGTAATTCAGAGTATTATAATAGAATGGCATTATAGTGGAATGGTGAAATACGTGAGAGCATTTTGAAAATAAAAGCTATTTTATAAATATCACCTCTAGCTAAATGCTAAAGTCATAGATATTAAAACAAAAATTCAAAGTGTATAAAGCTCCATAAGCAAACCCTCACTGACAAAGATGTTTTTCAGGAAAGTAGATGATTTACTTTTTTTTTTTGGCTAATCATTTATTTTCAGTTCTAATAGTATCATTGTGCTCCTGAGTTCTGGATATCTTTGTTTTGTGTTTCTAAGTCTAATCACTTCCAGTTCATTCATCTTGCTAGGATTTTAGGCCATAAATGAACTTAAGAGACTGCTATCACTCTTTTGGTATGACTTTGATTTTAATATGGTTGTGCTAATACATGGAATAAAACAGAAATATTTTAAAAAGCTGTGTCATTTTAATATAATTCCAGAGTTTGGAGGGATTTTAAATGTCATAAGTCACAAGTTTTCCCTTTCTATAGGTGCAGAAACTACAATTTTAACTGATGTCCTCCACATTAGGTAAACAGGTAACAGCATAGGCAGGTTAGAACAAAGAAAGTCATCGAAGAAATAAGATGAATGCTAGCATTAGAAAATGGGGTTAAGTTTCAGGATCACCTATTTATTGGGTATATGATTTACAGTCTCAATAATTTATGATCACTCACCCTCAGATCTCACATGTGAGAAACTACATACAGTAAACTCAAAATGCATCAAATTAAAACAATTTTATTGTTCATCCCATGCTATGGAAACACCATAATTCAAGATTCATTTAGAAGATTCTTTGGATGGTTACTTGCAAAGGATTTTGTTTCTCCTTTGCTAATGAAGCTTAGTTTGGCTGGCTATGAAATTCTGGGTTGAAAATTCTTTTCTTTAACAATATTGAAAATTGGCTCCCACTCTCTTCTGGCTTCTAGGGTTTCTGCCAAGATATCTGCTGTTAGTCTGATGGGCTTTCCTTTGTGGATAACTCAACTGTTCTAGATACTATCCAGGAGAAGTCTCCCAACCTAGCAAGGCAGGCCAACATTCTAATTCAGGAAATCAGAGAATACCACAAAGATACTCTTCGAGAAGAGCAACCCCAAGACACATAATTGTCAGATTCACCAAGGTTGAAATGCAGGAAAAAATGTTAAGGGCAGCCCAAGAGAAAGGCATGTTACCCACAAAGGGAACCCATCAGACCAACATTGGATCACTTGGCAGAAACCCTACAAGCTAGAAAAAAGTGGGAGCCAATATTCAACATTCTTAAAGAAAAGAATGTTCAACCCAGAATTTCATATCCAGCCAAACTAAGCTTCATAAATGAAGGAGAAATAAAATCCTTTACAGACAAGCTACTGCTGAGGGATTTTGTCGCCACCAGACCTGCCTTATAAGAGCTCCCGAAGGAAGCACTAACCATGGAAAGGAACAAACAGTACCAACCACTGCAAAAACATACCAAATTTTAAAGGCCATAAACAACATGAAGAAACTACATCAACTAATGGGCAAAATAACCAGCTAGTATCAAAATGACAGGATCAAGTTCACACACAACCATACTGACCTTAAATGTAAATGGGCTAAATGCCCCAATTAAAAGACACAGACTGGCAAGTTGGATAAAGAGTCAAAACCTATCAGTGTGCTGTATTCAGGAGACCCATCACACATGCAAACTCACACATAGGCTCAAAAGAAAGGGTTGGAGGAATATTTACCAAGAAAATGGAAAACAAAAAAGCAGGTGCTGAAATCCTAGTCTCTGATACTCTGATAAAACAGACTTTAAATCAACAAAGATCAAAAGAAGCAAAGAATGGCATTACATAATGGTAAAGGGATCAATGCAACAAGAAGAGCTAACCATATATGCATCCAATACAGGAGCACCCAGATTCATAAAGCAAGTTCTTAGAGACCTACAAAGAGACAGACTCCCACACAATAATAGTGGGAGACTTTAACACCCCACTATTATTAGAACTCAGGATTAAGAAATTCACTCAAAACTGCACAACTACATGGATTCTGAACAACCTGATTCTGAAAGACTAATGGGTAAATGACTAAAATAAGACAGAAATAAAGATGGTATTTGAAACCAATGAGAACAAAGACTCAATGTACCAGAATCTCTGGGACATATATAAAGCAGTGTGTAGATGGAAATTTATAGCTCTAAATACCCACAGGAGAAAGCAGAAAAGATCTAAGATTGACACCCTCACATCACAATTAAAAGAACTAGAGAAGCAAGAACAAACAAACTCAAAAGCTAGCAAAAGGTGAGAAATAACTAAAATCAGAGCAGAACTTAAGGAGACAGAGACACAAAAACCCCTTAAAAAAAAATCAATGAATCCAGGAGTTTGTTTTCTAAAAAGGTCAACAAAATAGACAGATCACCAGCCAGTCTAATAAGGAAGAAAAGAGAGAAGAATCAAATAGATGCAATAAAAAATGATAAAGGAGATATCACCACCTATCCCATAGAAATACAAACCACTATCAGAGAAAACTATAACACCTTTACACAAATAGACTAGAAAATCTAGAAGAAATGGATAAATTCCTGCACACATGCACCCTTCCAAGACTGAACCATGAAGAAGTCAAAGCTCTGAATAGACCAATAAAAAGTTCAGAAATTGAGGCAGCATTTAACATCCTACCAACCAAAAAGTCTAGAACCAAATGGATTCCCAGCAAAATTCTACCACAGGTACAAAGAGGAGCTTGTATCATTTTTTTCTGAAACCATTCCAAACAATAGAAAATGAAGAAATCCTCCCTAACTCATTTAATGAGGTCAGAATCCTTCTGATACCAATACCTGGCAGAAACACAACTAAGAAACAAAATTTCAGGTCGATATCCCCGATGAACATCAATGCAAAATCCTCAATAAAACACTAGCAAACTGAATCCAGCAGCACATCAAAACGTTTATCCATCACAATCAAGTTGGCTTCATCCCTGGGATGTAAATCTGGTTCAACATATGCAAATCAATAAATGTAATTCATCACATAAACAGAACCAATGACAAAAAACACATGATTATCGCAATAGGTGCAGAAAAGGCCTTTGACAAAATTCCACAACCCTTCATGCTAAAAACTCTCAAGAAACTAGGTATTGATGGAGCATATATCAAAACAATAAGAGCTATTTATGAAAAACCCACAGCCAATATCATACTGACTGGAAAAAAAAAAAACAATAAGCATTCCCTTTGAAAACTGGCACAAGACAAAGATGCCATCTCTCATTACTTCTAGGCAACATAGTATTGGAAGTTCTGGCCAGGGCAATCAGGCAAGAGAAAGAAATAAAGGATATTTAGTCAGGAAAAGAGGAAATCAAATTGTGTGTGTTTGCAGATGACATGATTGTATACTTAGAAAACCCCACTGTCTCATCCCAAAATCTCCTTAAGCGGATAAGCAACTTTAGCAAAGTCTTAGGATATAAAATCAATGTACAAAAATCACAAGCATTCCTATACACCAATAACAGAAAAACAGAGAGACAAATCATGAGTGAACTCCCATTCACAATTGCTGCAAAAAGAATAAAATACCAGGAATACAACTTACAAGGGATGTCCTCTTCAAGGATAACTACAAACTGCTGCTCAAGGAAATAAGAGAGAACATAAACAAATGGAAAAACATTCCATGCTCATGGATAGGAAAAATCAATATTGTGATAATGGACATACAGCCCAAAGTTACTTATAGATTCAGTGCTATCCCCATCAAGCTACCATTGACTTTCTTCACAGAATTAAAAAAAAAAAAAAAAAGCTACTTAAAATTTCATATGGAACCAAAAAAGAGCCTGCATAGCCAAGAAAATCCTAAGCAAACAGAATAAAACTAGAGGCATCATGCTACCTGACTGCAAACTATACTACAAGGCTACAGTAACTAAAACAGCACGGTGCTGGTACCAAAACAGAGATATAGGCCAAATGGAAAAGAACAGAGGCTTCAGAAATAACACCACACATCTACAGCCATCTGATCTTTGACAAACCTGACAAAAACAACAATGGGGAAAGGATCCTCTATTCAACAAATGGCAATAAATGGTATGGGGAAAACTGGCTAGCCATACGCAGAAAGCTCAAATGGATCCCTTTCTTATACCTTATACAAAAATTAATGTAAGATGGATTAAAGACTTAAAAATAAGACCTAAAACCATAAAAATACTTGAAGAAAACTTAGGCAATACCATTCAAGATACAGACATGGGAAAAGACTTCATGACTAGAACAGCAAAAGCAATGGCAACAAAAGCCAACATTGACGAATGGGATCTAATTAAACTAAAGATTTTCTGCACAGCAAAAGAAACTGTCATCAGAGTGAACAGGCAACCTATAGAATGGGAGAAAATTTTTGCAATCTATGCATCTGACAAAAGACTAATATCCAGAATCTACAAAGAACTTTTCAAAAAGCATATGAAAAAAAGCTCATCATCACTGGTCATTAGAGAAATACAAATCAAAACTGCATTGATATAATATTTCACACCAGTCAGAATGGTGATCATTAAAAAGTCAGGAAACAACAGATGCTGGAGAGGATGTGGAGAAATAGGAACAATTTTACACTGTTGGTGGGACTGTAGTTCAACCATTCTGGAAGACAGCATGGCAATTGTTCAAGGATCTAGAAATAGAAATACTATTTGACCCATCAATCCCATTACTGGGTATATACCCAAAGGATTATAGATCATTCTATTATAAAGACACATGCACACATATATTTATTGTAGCACTATTTACAATAGCAAAGACTTGGAAGCAATCCAAATGCCCATCAATGATAGACTGCTTAAAAAAATGTGGCATGTATACACCATGGATTACTATGCAGTCATAAAAAAGGATGAGTTCATGTCCTTTGCAGGAACACAGATGAAGCTGGAAACCATCATTTTCAGCAAACTAACACAAGAACAGAAAACCAAACTGCATATTCTCATGTGTAAGTGAGAGTTGAACAATGAGAACACATGGACACAGGGAGGGGAACATCACACACTGGGGCCTAACAGTGGGTGTGGGGGTAGGGGAGGGATAGCAATAGTAGGAATACCTAATGTAGATGATGGGTTGATGGGCGCAGCAAACCACCATGGCATGTGTATACCTAAGTAACAAATCTGCACATTCTCTACACGTACCCTAGAACTTTAAGTATGATAATAATAATAATAATAATAATTAGGCAGGGATTAGATATGAGATCTTGTAATAATTCATGATCTACATTTGCTCATTTGTAAGTACAAATAAAATCTAACACACACACATACACACACAAAGAAAGCAAAAGAAAAAAAAAGACACATTATTTCTGCTAGCTCTATTCCAACAGTCATGCCTAATGGGGTTAATGTGGCTTTCACAGAATTGGAAAATAAGGTTTTCTTAGTTTGTATAAACATTGAAAGGTTTTCAGGACAATACAAAACAAATGTGCATATGACATGGCCCAAAAAACAACATTATATTGAAAATTGCTTTTAGAATACTATTAAAAATAGTTTTTTAGGCCGGGCATAGTGGCTTACATCTGTTATTTCAGCATTTTCAGAGGTTGAGGCAGGAAGATTGTTTGAGCCCAAGAGCTCATGACCAGCCTGGTCAAGAATAGTGAGACATTGTCTCTCCAAAAAAAAAAAAAAAAAAAGTTTTTAAATTGGCCAGAGCCAAGTGCAGTGGCTCAAACCTGTAATCCCAGCACTTTGGGAGGCCAAGGCAATATGACTTCTTGAGCTAGGATGAGCGCTTTGTGGCACATGTCTGTGGGTCCAGCTACTTGGGAGGCTGAAGTGGGAGAATTGTCTAAGCTCAAGAGTTCGAGGCTGAAGTGAGCTGTAATCACGCCACAGCACTCCAGCCTGGGCGACAGAGCAAGAGCTCATCTCAAAACAAACAAACAAACAAATAAATAACTACCCAGGTGCAGTGGCACACCTCTGTATTCCTAGCTACTCAAGAGAGTGAGAAGGAAGGATTGCTTGAGCCTGGATGTTCCAGGCTGCAGTGAGCTATGATCG